TCGCAAAAAAAGCAAAAATTAGATCATTTTCCGTGATTTTTTGGGTTGTTTTTAACGAAATTCAGCGAAATAATTGTGTTTGAACTGAAAAACGTAGTAAAACGCTTGGGAAACGCAAAAATAATGTAATTTTGGACCAGCGCAAAAAAATGAAAATCACCAGAGGCGAGTTTCCAAAGATTATAACAAATTTTGACTGGCGAAAACGCAATTTACAATTGAAAATCTGCTTAAACTCGCGAAAAAAGCAAAAATGACATCATTTTCCGTGATTTTTTGCGTTGTTTTTAACGAAATTCAGCGAAATAATTGTGTTTGTAGCTGAAAAACATGGTAAAACGCTCAGGAAATGCAATTTTTGACTCAATTTGTTTTTCTTTTGTTCATTTTAGCAAAATCTTGCAAAAATGTGTACCTACAAAACGTGCTTGACAGCATTTTCGACCAAATTTTGTGGTTTCTCGGCCTATTTTTGCTCAAAATTTAGTTAAACCGAGTGAAACAAACAATATTTTAAGCGTTTTTGATAAGATTTTGCCCAATTAATGAGTCTTTAGTTCAAAAACGAAGTGAGTCGAGCGAAACAAGCAAAAAATGTTTAAATGAAATTTTTGGATTTTTTTGCTTTTATGCTTAAGCACTTGAAAAAGGCAAAAATAACACCAATTTGGGACTATTATTTAATGTTTGGTTAGTTTGCGAAATAATTGAATTTCTAAATGAAAAACATTTAAAAAAGGCAGACAAATTGTTAGTAAAATCTCAACAATTTGGTTGTTTTTCTGTTGTTTTTTTTTTTTTTTTTTTTTGTAAAAATTTGGCATAATAATCAAGTTTCTGGTGGAAAAATGTTATGAGGGTTAGAATTAGAATGCAATCAGTGCTGCCAAACATAAACAACTCAAAACCCACCAACCAATGACAATTTTATAATTGCGGTTAAAAAGAGGTAAATAAGGTGTTAACGCCCATTAAAGTACAAAAAAAGGGTTCGACCCTCCCCCATTTTCGCTATAGGCCCCTTATTTGGTAGTAGGGCAACCGTAGGCGTGTTATTTACTCACAAAACTTGTTGTATTATGTGTTGCAGACATCAAGGCGCACAATTAATATTATTTTATTTGTTTCAGGTTTGGACCAAATCCCGATTTTTATACAACTAATCTGGACCATTACATCCTCCTATCAGTCTTTGAAACACCAACAGGGGAACTCCATTTCGGACCTAAACAGGGCTGTTTATTTCCTATGGAATTTCTGCATTCTCCTACCACGAATCCTTTCCATGGGGGCTGCATTCGCTTTGTGGCCCTTTTATACAGGAATTGTGATAGCAATCCACTGGATGGCCTACACATTTTGGCTATACCTCAATATTAAGCCATTAGAGTTTTGCAATCAAAATAAAATTTGGCATTTTTTATTTTGCTTAGTTTTTGGTATAGTCTATGTTTTTAAACCAGTGAACTTGCAAAAAGAATCAATCCGAAATTTTTATATTTGGTTTTACATAATTTGCTTCATAGAAAATGCAAGTGCCTTAATTTTGTGGCTTTGTAACGATATTTATAAAGATCTAGAATATAAAATTTTGTTTAATTTGTTGATCCAAATCATGTTTGGTTTTGGAGTTCTTATCTCGATTTTCTATTATAGCCAAAATAATTCTCACAAAAATGAAGAAAACAATTCTAAAACGACTATTGTATAAAAATGCCAAAAAATTAGTTAGAGAAATATTTATTGAATTAATATTATTTATATTTTAATTGTTTTGACAGTTTTTTTTTTAATAAACATAAAAAGAAGTGTTTTATTTCCCTTAATGATATCAATGCCATCTTATACCTATAAGTTATGAGCAGAGTTGTCACCTCAAAAAAATAAAATTCACCAGATCCGAGTTGAAAAAATTTCCAAATATTTTCACTAGATTACAAGATTATACTTTTTGACTCGGTATGTCAAAGTCTCGTGAATAAAAAAAAAAGAATTTTCAGTTAAAAAAGCAAAAATGACATTATTTTTGGCCTAATTCCGTAATTTTTCGGCTTGTTTTTAGCGAAATAATTGGGTTTGTAGGTTGTTGAAACCCTCGAGAAATGCAAAAATAATAGCAGTATAATTTTCTAGTTAATTTGTTTTTTTGGCTTATTTTAATAAAATTTTGCAAAAACCATGAGTTTCTAGTACAAAAACGTACTTGAAAGCATTTTCGACCAAATTTTGTGGTTTCTCAACTTGTTTTTGCTCAAAAATAAGTTAAATCGAGTGAAACAAACAAAATTTTAAGTGTTTTGGATTAGATTTTGCAAAATTAATGACCCTTTGGTTCAAAAAGGAAATGAGTCGAAAAAACAAGCTGAAAATAATAGGTAGGTACAATTTTGATTTAATTTTCTAATTTTTGAGCATGTTTAAATATTTTTTTTTGTTTTTATGTCAAAAACAACACAGTTTTTAGTATATTTTATTGAATTTTTGGTTTAAAATTATGAACCCTCTGGTTCAAAAAGGAAATGAGTCGAAAAAACAAGCTGAAAATAATAGGTAGGTACAATTTTGATTTAATTTTCTAATTTTTGAGCATGTTTAAATAATTTTTTTTTGTTTTTATGTCAAAAACAACACAGTTTTTAGTATATTTTGTTGAATTTTTGGCTTAAAATTATGTGAAAATAATACTAAAGCATTCGAAAAAGACAAAAGTAAATTGTCATTTTCGAACCTGTTTAGTCAAATCTCGTGAAACAATAATATTTTAACCAATGTACTGGTCTCTCGATAAAAAATTCTACTTGAAAAACATGGAAACTCCTGGAAAAAAATACAAAATTATATTTAATATTGAAATTAATGCCATAAGTTATGAGCAGAATTATTAGCTCAAAAAAATAAAATTCACCAAATCCGAGTTAAAAAAGTTTCCAAATATTAAAAGATTATAGTGATTTTTGTCTCGGTATGGTAAAATCTCATAAAAATAAACGGGATTTTCAGTTAAAAGGCAAAAATGGCATTATTTTATCCCTAATTCAGTAATTTTTGGGCTTGTTTGTAGCTGAAGAAGGTGCTAAAACGTTTGAGAAATGCAAAAATAATAGGAGTACAATTTTCTATTCAATTTATTGTTTTTCTGATGTATTTTTAAAATTTTACGAAAACCATGAGTTTTTAGTACAAAAACGTACTTGAACGTATTTTCGACCAAATTTTGTGATTTCTCCACTTATTTTTGCTCAAAAATGAGTCAAATCGAGTGAAACAAACAAAATTTTAAGCGTTTTTGGATAAGATTTTGCAAAATTAATGACCCTCTGGTTCAAATACGAAGTGAGTCGAGAAAACAAGCTAAAAATAATAGGTACAATTTTGATTTAATTTTCTAATTTCTGAGTTTGTTTAAACAAATTTTTTTGTTTTTATCTCAAAAACGTATTTAAACACTCGAAAAAGGCAAAAACAACACGGTTTTTAGTCTATTTTATTGAATTTTGGCTTAAAATTTTGTGAAAATAATACTAAAGCATTCAAAAAAGACAAAAGTAAATTGTTATTTTCGAACCTGTTTAGTCAAATCTCGTAATAGTGGTTTCTCGATAAAAAATTCTACTTGAAAAACGAGGAAACTCCCCGAAAAAATGCAAAGATATCATTTAATATTGAAATTAATGCTACTTATGTAAGTTATGAGCAGAATTGTTAGCTCAAAAAACTAAAATTCACCAGATCCGAGTTAAAAAAGTTTCCAAATATTAAAAGATTATAGTGATTTTTGCCTCGGTATGACAAAATCTTGTAAAAAAACAGGATTTCAAAAATAACATCAGTTTTGGCCTAATTCCGTAATTTTTCGGCTTGTTTTTAACGAAATTTAGCAAAATAATTGAGTTTGTAGCAAAAAAATTTCTATTTAATTCGTATTTTAACAAAATTTTCGCATTTTCGACCAAATTTTGTGGTTTCTCGACTTGATTTTGCTCAAAAATAAATCAAATCGAGTGAAACAAATACAATTTTAAGCGTTTTTGGATAAGATTTTGCAAAGTTAATGACCCTTTGGTTCAAAAACGAAGTGCTAAAAAATAATAAGTATACCAACTATTTAATTTTCTAATTTTTTATCTCAAAAACGTGCCCTCAAAAAAGACAAAAACGACACAATTATTAGTTTATTTTATTGAATTTTTGACTTGTATTTAACGAAATTTTGCGAAAATAATACTAAAGCATTTGAAACAGACGTTATTTTCGAGCTTTAGTAAAATCTCGTAAAACAACAATAGATTCGATAAGAAAAATTCTGCTTGAAAAACGTGGAAAGTGCTCGAAAAAGGTGCAAAGAGTTTCACTAAATTCGAGTTGTGCAAAAATGCCAAAGAATGAAAAGGAGTGTTTTATTTTCCTCCCAAGCCCTTGGTAAAAAGTCCGGGTTTTAAATAACACTTTTATTGTATTTACACGCAACAATGTTAATTAAATACTAGAACCTATAGGAATAATGGTAAAAATTACGTAAAATAGCTGATAATACTTATATACAATGAGTGGGTAATAAATAATGAGAAAGAGAATCACATGTCATCCTTAAGCCTACAATAATCATGTTTCTAGTGCAAAAATAAGAATACTTTTAACTCGGAATGTAGAAAACGATCTACACGAGAAAAAATACGTTATTACAATTCGATAGTTTGCGTCAAATCCCCGGGGGGTAATTGCTTTTTCCCCGTTTTATCCAACTCGAGTTCAATCGTCAAACTCTCAACTTCGGCCTCCAAGGCTCGCGTCCTCCGATACATCTGCACGTAATTCATCTGCAATTGCCTCTGGTACCGCAAAACTTTCTCCTTTTCCTGGGCCCAAACCACTCTCTCCTTTTCAAAATCCTTCGTTTTGGTGGCAATTTCCTGTTTGAGGGATTCAACACTCCCGAGGGACATGTCGGAGAGTTCTTCGCTCAACTCCTTGGCGAGTTCTTCTTTGAGCTTTTTGATTTCGGCGTCTTTCTCCTCGCATTGGAGTTGCAATTGGGAGATTTGGGCTTCACGCAAGTCGAGTTGGTCGCGGAAGTCGCGATGTTCGGTGCGGAGTTGCAGGAGTTCCTGGCATTTGGAAGTTTGCTCGTTCTAAAAACAAAAATCAATCAACAACCCTCTTTTTTGTTTTTTCAAAAGGGTAAAATTGTAGTGAAAGTAAAAGATCAGTTTGCTAAAAGTTGCCTCAGAAAATATTATTTTGACTTTTAGATCTTAAAAAAAATAATTAGAAAGCTCACATTTCAATGGAAATTGAATTTTTGAATGGGGTAACAGACATACAGGGTGTCCCAGCGTGTTGAAAAAGTCCATTAGTGACCTTTAAATGGTGAAATTAAAAAAAAAATGTATAGATACTAATCTAGTGCATCACCTAAAATTATTTTCAACCATACTGCATGTTCCAAAAATAAGTTACGATACAAACTTGCGTTTTTTTTTAATGAAACACTGTGTTTCTTTGTTTTTACGCTAAACTTTTATTAGTCGATTTTGCTCAGTTTTAGAAATAATATCAAATTACATGTTTTTTTTACACTTTTGTATTCATTTATTTCATAATATTTACTTGCAAAATAAAGCTTTTTTTAAATAAATTTAATGGTGAAGCTCAAAGTTGAAAAGGTTTTCTGGGGTAGATTTATTAGTAAGTTTCGTTAAACTTCATCGTTTTTTTACAATAAAATTACATTTTTGTATTTGTTTACAAAAGTTTATTTCGTAATTTTTGAACTTGCAACATAATTAATCTAATGAATTTGTTGTGAAGGAAATTTTGTGAAAAAATCCGTTTTTGACTGAAACACTATTAAAACGCTTTCTAAAAAACAAAAATAATGTAATGTTCGGCTCAAATAGATAATTTTTCAGTCTGTTTTGGTGTAATCTTAGTAAAAAGCAGAATTTAGTTAAAAAATGTCGCTGCATTTTGTGTTTTTTTGGCATATTTTTTGATGAAAATAAGCGGCTTAAAAAAGCAAAAATAACGCAATTTTTGGTCGAATTTTGTGTTTTTTTTTCTCCGCAAAAATTATTAGTGAAAAAAAAATTGTTAAAAACGTCGAAAACTGAGCAATTCTAGAGTAAATCGGGAAGAAATGAATACGGGAGTTCTAAGTTCCAAAGTCCATCTATCCGATTGTTCGATTTCTCCCGGACTTACCCTATTAATTTTTTTATTGCTTACTTCTATTGCACAAAAGTTACTATTACCTAGTAAATATATACAGGGTGTTCCAGCGAGTTCAAAAAGAAACACCGTATGTTTCTTTGCATTTTTGGGTGTAGCCTTTTAAAACAATGTTTTTACACTAAACTTTTATTAGTCGATTTCGCTTAGTTTCAGAAATAAGACGTTTTTTTTAACAAAAACATGCACTTTTTAAAAATTTATGACAGCTAGAACAAATTTTTATTTTCTTCTGCAAAGAAGAAAGTACAGAATTTAAAGCTCTAGCAATTTTTTAGTGTTTTGCATTTGTAAAAATTAATAAATTTAGAAGTTTGTTAAAAGTTAAATAACTTAAAAAAATTAAATGGAACACCCTATTTTTAATTTTTGCATCTAATAGGTTGATAAATTGTCTATCTAAAAAAAAATNAATGTAGTGTGTTTTGCTTTATTTTACATTTTCTTTGTGTTTACTACTATATTTTCAGTCAATTGGGATTTATTTTTTGACATTTGACATTTTTTATGCCTATTTAATGATACTGATGGTCTTGTATATGTTTTTTTACAAATATTTAATAAAGGTACAAAAATTTTGTCAATAAAAGCCACAAATAACATTGAACAGAGTTACAATTTAGGAGACAGCTTCCTTTTTTCCTTTTTTAATAGCCTGCAGCAAAAAAACTTGAAAAATTATTTTTCCAACAAAAATAAAAGAGTCAAAGTGCAAAATTTAAATAAACTCTCACAACTTCGAAATTTTTATAGATAAAATTTTTTTAACATTTTTTTCATGTTCCTGGTATCTTACTTTACATGACATTTTCCTCTGGGGCACACCCTGTAATTAAAAATACGTATTAAAAAAAATAAAATTTTCCCCAAAACCGCAACAAATAATTTAAAAAAAATAGATTTGTACATACTTATATTCAAGACGTAAATTATTGAAATTTTAGCTATGAGACAATAAATAAACACAAATATTTTGTGTAGGTATTTAAAAAAGGGAAGATTAACGGAGAGAAATAAGAGAAAATAATCCGATTTTCATGACAAAAACGCAATTATTTTTCTTTATCTTTTTATTTATTTACACTAAACTTGGACAAGTCGACGTAATTATGCAAATTAAACAAAAATTTTGTGTTAATAACCTTTGATTACAATTTTTTTATAATAAAGTGTGTTTTACTTTATTTTATATTTTTTCTTCTTTACTAATAAATTTTCAAAAAAAAAATTAAATAAATGGTAACACAAATAGAAAAGGCAAAAAATAAAGACAAAACATAGGTAATAATAAAGTAGACTACAAACATGTAAAGATAAAAAATAATGTAAAAACGCAAAACATATTATTTACAAAATTTGTGTTAGAAAGTGTACAAAAAAGCTTGCAAGAGCACCACAAAAAGATAAGAGCTTTAAAACATGACGTATAATATTTAGAAGAATTACTTAATTTTTTTGTTGTTAGTTCACTTTGACTAAACATACACAAAAAAATAATGTAGAAAAAATAAGGTAGTAAAGAACAACAAAAATGCATTTATTAAGTAGTTATGCGATTTCTTGTACAAATTTTAAAAAACTTGTATAAAATTAAGTAAAAACACGAGTATTTTTACACATACGTGTTTCTTTTGTTCGTATTAATGTAGTGTATTTTACTTTATTTTACATTTTCCTTGTGTTTACTCTATTAAATTTTCAAAATTTTGTTTGTTTCGTTTTGTTTTGACCAACAAAGGAATTAAATAACAAAATATTTTAGGAACGTGTTAAAAAGAGTTTCAAGGGGATAAAGTACCAGTTTATGAGTTGAAAGCAAGAGAATAAAACGTCACTTTATTTCCCGTTGGGAGAAAATACAACTAGGTATTGGAGTCGATTTTACGATTTTTTCTGTAAATTCTAGAAAACTTTAAATTTTACTAAAAAAAGTATTTTTCCACATGATTATTATTTCTGTTCCAATTTTTTATTACTTGTAATGTAGTGTGTTTTGCTTTATTTTACATTTTCTTTGTGTTTACTACTATATTTTCAGTCAATTGGGATTTATTTTTTGACATTTGACATTTTTTATGCCTATTTAATGATACTGATGGTCTTGTATATGTTTTTTTACAAATATTTAATAAAGGTACAAAAATTTTGTCAATAAAAGCCACAAATAACATTGAACAGAGTTACAATTTAGGAGACAGCTTCCTTTTTTCCTTTTTTAATAGCCTGCAGCAAAAAAACTTGAAAAATTATTTTTCCAACAAAAATAAAAGAGTCAAAGTGCAAAATTTAAATAAACTCTCACAACTTCGAAATTTTTATAGATAAAATTTTTTTAACATTTTTTTCATGTTCCTGGTATCTTACTTTACATGACATTTTCCTCTGGGGCACACCCTGTAATTAAAAATACGTATTAAAAAAAATAAAATTTTCCCCAAAACCGCAACAAATAATTTAAAAAAAATAGATTTGTACATACTTATATTCAAGACGTAAATTATTGAAATTTTAGCTATGAGACAATAAATAAACACAAATATTTTGTGTAGGTATTTAAAAAAGGGAAGATTAACGGAGAGAAATAAAAGAAAATAATCCGATTTTCATGACAAAAACTCAATTATTTTTCTTTATCTTTTTATTTATTGACACTAAACTTGGACAAGTCGACGTAATTATGCTAATTAAACAAAAATTTTGTGTTAATACAATTTTTTTATTATAAATGTGTAAAATTTAAAAAAATTGTATAAAACTGTATATTAAAATAAAAGACTAGAAATGTTAAAATTTAGTTGTTGATTTCTTAATTTAATTTGTCATGTAAATTTGTCATAAAATAAAAAGCAAACAAAACGATAATAATTCGATAACAAACGTTTGACAACTATTTAAAAGTAGTGTAATTATTGCATTTTTTCATGTATCGTTAGTGTTTTTAACAAATTGCGAGTGTCGGTCTAAAACACTACCCCATCTGAAATGTAGATAGATAAAAAAAATGTGATATATTAACTTTTTTACCAAGTAAAATAAAATAAGGAATAAAAAACATWATTATGAATCATTATTATTATTATAAAATCATGCAATTTTAGCCGGTTTTATTCAATATCTTGATAATATACATCTATAAGAATTGAAAAATGAAAACTGAAGGGTTCGAAAATTTTCGACTTTAATAACCTTAAAATAGCAAAGATTTTGTAATTATCGACAAAATTTTAATAAAAAAAAGAGAGAAATGTTGATTTTTACACATAATCGTTCAGAAATGTATGTAAAAACTGTACCTAATTTAAAAATGAAAAAAAAAAAACGTTCTATTAATTTTATGTTTTATTCAATCTTGTCTATATTTAATTTTCAAAAAAAGAAAAGTTACTTAACATTACAAATTGTGAATTTACAATTTTCATGAATTTTTTGTTATTTTACACAGTGTCGATAATTTTTTAAACAGAATGTTCTTGTTTCGTGTTCTAATAGCCTGTAGCAAAAAAACTTGGAAAATTATTTTTTATTTTTTTTATGTTCCTGGTATCTCTCTCTCATTATATGTGATTTTTCTCTGAGACGCAAGTTCTGGTGCACTTAAAATTATCAACTCACTTGATAGTCCTTCAACTGTGACTTTAAGAGTGAAATCTCGCCGGTTTTCTGGCACAGCCCCCACTCGGTCTCCTCCAGTCTCCCCCTGAGCGCATTCACCTCCTGTTTCAGCCTCTCAGTCTGACAATTGGCCCTTTGTGTCTCAGCACTGAGCCGCTTCTTGTCTTGCTGCAACTGGTAGGTCTGCATCATGAGCATCTGTTCGAGTTTGAGCGCTTTCTGAGCACTGGCTCTGAGCCGGTTCTCGTGGAGGGTCTTCATTCGTCTCAGTTCGCGCTCCCAGACTTTCTCCTTCTCTTGGTACACCCGGAAAATGACTTGTTCGTTGTGCTCCATGGTTTGGCGGAGGTAGGCGAGTTCGGAGTCGCGGTCGCGGAGGGCCGCCTCCAGTTCGGACACTCCCGAGTCGGAGGGTGACGGCGTCAAGTCGAGGAGACTTCCGCCGCCCGCGCCAGAGAGACGATACGACGCTTTGTTCCTACACAAACAACTGTTAGAATATGATGGTGGATACGTCCATTATGAAGCTTTCTTCACCGGAACCGATTTATTGCAAAGTCTCGAGGAGGTGGGAAAGAAGGAGAAACAGTGACGGGTTTCTAAAAATCGAGAAATTTTTATTCTGTTGTGTTTTGGTTGTACAAAATTCAAGGTTTTATTGTTAAACTGCTCCACAAAAGTTAAGAAAGTCGCGTTATTTTTACCACAAACAAATTTTATTTTTTTAACCATTGTGGAATCCAGCAAGACGAAAAAGTAAAAACATATTATCCAAAAATCCAAAATTTTGGCCTTTATATAAAATTTAACCCAATCGATTTGAGTTTGATAATGGTCTAAGCTTGGAAAAGTTGTGTCACGAAAGGTTTTGTTCTTGAATTAAACGAAAACATTTTGTATTTTATAATTTTTCCGACAGGCTTTGAAAAGAAAATTTGTGTTGTTCAATAAGAAATAATAACGAGACGGAGAATTAAAAGACTTGTCAAAATTTACTAAGACAACAAAAACATAGTGTTGGAACTTTCTTAGAGTTATTGTACTAAACTTCAATTTCAGACGAGACGGTGTTAACTTTCAAACAACATTCGTCATTTTCTTTCAGGGTATTCATCGATTTTATGTCGTTTCAGGTGGACTACAATTAAAATGTTTAAAACTATGTTTGTTAGGAGTGGAGTTTTGAAAGTTTCTCAACTGCAAACAAATCTAAAAATACAGGGTGTCCCAGAGAATTGAAAAAGTCCATTAGTAATTTTTAAATGGTAAAATTTTAAAAATTGGACGACATTGATAGATACTAATATAGTGCATTTTCAACCATACAAAATGTTCCAAAAATAAGTTTTAAATGAAACAGCATATGCATTTTTACAGTAGTAAAAAAATATTTCTAGTTGTCTTAGTTTTTGTGTAATATATTTATAAAGAGTGCATGTTTTCTTCAAAAAAACGTCTTATTTTTAAAACTAAGCTTGAGTGTAATTCGGTAAGACAATTTAATGAATACGTAAAATAATTTTATTTTTGGCCCAAATTGCTCATTTTTTGGCACGTGTTAGTAAAGTTTTGCGTAAATGGAGTTTGAAGCTTAAAAATTTGCTGTAACTTTAAAAAAAAACATTCTAGTCATTTCTTTAAAACTTTCTAAAACTTTAAATAAAGATAAGAATTAACATAATTTAGTCATTTTTGCCTTATTTTTGAAAAATTTGTTAAAACGTTTAAAAAAAAACAAGTAACGTCATTTTTGACCCAATGTAGTGTCTAGTGTAGTAAAGTCTCGCAAAGAAAACTGTTTTTATACTACAGAAAAGAAGAATTTAGACGTAATTTAGCGGTTTTTCGGCATTTTTCTGTAAAAATTGCATTTCCGACTAAAAAAACTGTTCTAAAACGCTTGGAAAAGGCAAAAATATTTTTTTTTCGACTTTTCTCATTATTGACCAAGGACAGTAATGGATTAGAGGTGCATAAATACCGGTATTAGAGGGTATTACATTGAAACAAACATATCTAGAATATTATTTTTAAAACTATTACAATCAATCGGCTCATTTCATCTTGAGCAAATTTTAATACTTTTTGCCTTTTCTTGCAGTTTCTATGTTGTTTTAACAAATATTATCTCACTTTTAATTAATTATGTATGAATTTAAAAAAATATACTTTATACACTATATACACTTCCTTACCTTTTGTGGAGCAGTTTAATGATATTACTTTATCTTTTTTCGAATTACGTTGAATTTCTTCGGAATTAATTTGGAATTACCGGAATTATTTTGGATAAAAATTAAGTTGGAATAATAGAAATGAATTTGGTATTATAAGGAATATTAATCTAAAAACAATGAAATTACTGGAATTACGTTGGAATGTCTTTGAAATTATTGAAATTATTTGTAAGTTTCTGCATTTTTTCTAGAATGACTAAAATTAAAGGAGATTATTTCTTGTCAAAATTAGGTTGAATTTCTACTATCGGAATTAATTTGGAATTTTAGAAATTATTTTAGAGATTTACAAAAATTAAGTTAGAATTACGGCAATTGAATTGAAATTAAGTTGGGATTATAGAAATTAATATAAAAACAATAGAGTTACGAATCATTATTGGAATTACTGGAAGTTCGGCGAAATTTCTTTAATTACTGAAATTATTTCTGAAGTAATTAAATTTTTCTTAAATTACTCAAATTCTTTTTGGAACTAAAATTACGAAGAATTTCTTAGAACTATCGGAATTAATTTGGAACTAAAAAAATTATTCTGGACTTATGAAAATTGACTTGGAATTAAGTTGGAATTACAGAAAGTAAAGTCTTAATTTGTGTTGTTTTTTTGATGTTTTTTTTGTTAATTGCCTTTATTTTTGTGTTTTTTTTTAAATGTTTACAATTCATTATTTTGGTGAAGAACTTCAAGGTTTTGGAATTAATTTGGAATTATAGGAATTTTTTTAAATTACTGTAATTATTTATAAATTACTGGAATTCTTTTTCGAATTATCGGAGATTTCTTTTCAAAATTACGTTAAATCTATTAGAATTACCGGAATTAAGATGGAATTACAGAAATTAATTTGTAATTATAGAAATTAATCTGAAAACAATTAAAATACGATGGATTATTAGAACCACTAGAATTCTTTTTGGAATTATCGGACATTATTTCTTGTAAAAATTATGTTGAATTTCTACTATCGGAATTAATTTGGAATTACAGAAATTATTTTAGACTTACAAAAATTAAGTTGGAATTAAGTTAGAATTACGAAATTAATTTAGAATTATAGAAATTAATCTAAAAACAATGGAATTTAAAATGAGAATGAAATTAGAAATTAGAGTGAAAGTTAGAATTACGGTAATTAAGTTGGAATTACAAAAATTAATATGGAATTATAAAAATTAATTTAAAAACAATGGAATTACGATTCATTATTGAAATTACTGGAACTTTTCTGGAATTACTGAAATTCTTTTTGAAATTTGGAATTATCGAAAATTATTTTTTGTTAAAATTACGATGAATTTCTTAGAACTATCTGAATTACAATTATTTTGGAATTACAGAAATTATTTGGTATTATAGGAATTAATTTGAAAACAATGGAATTTCTAAAATTTTGGTGGAATTTTTTGAATAATCGGAATAATTATTACAGACTCTAAATCGCGAAATTAATTTAGAATTACAGAAATTAACTTGGAATTATATAAATTTATAAGAAAAAAATGGAGAGGATGGTTTATGGGAATTACTGGAATTATTTAAAAATTACTGGAATTCTTTTTGGAATTATCGGAGATTATTTCCTTTTAAAATTACGATGAATATCTTAGAACTATCGGAATTAATTGGGAATTACAGGAATTCTTTTGGACTTACAAAAATAAGTTGGAATTACAGGAATTAATTTGAAAAGAATTCATTTACCATAGATTATTAGAATTACTGAAATTTCGATAGAATTTTTTTGAATTTTTGTGTTTTTTTTTCAATTTTTTGACACAATTTATTAGAGTAAAAAATCGCAAAATCTTTCTTGTTTTGTGTTTTAGTAAAAAATATTCAAGGTTTTTTTTATTATATTATGTTTATAAATCAGATTTTACTCTCACTTTGATAACAATTTGTCTTTTTTTAAATTTTTGATTTGAAATTCTAGATCTCTCTAGATTCTACATTAAAAATTAACAAAGTCGATGTACAACAGAATAAGAGTCTATGGAAAACGGAGAGTTTTTTGTTTTTGTTTATTTTCAAAAAAGTCAGAATGTGTAAACAAGTTTCCTTACATTGTAAGTTGTGAAAACTTGAGAAATCCTCAGATAAAAATCAATATCTTCATAATATACAACTACAAGAATTGAAAAATGAATACTGAAGGGTTCGAAAATTTTCGAATTTAATCACCTTAAAATAGCAAAGATTTTGTAATTATTGACAAAATTTTAATAAAAAAAGAGAGAAATGTTGATTTTTACACATAATCGTTCAGAAATGTATGTAAAAACTATA